CACTTAGCAGCCTACGTGGACTCCTCTCCTCCCACAGCTGTAGCTGTTAGAAATCGGGAGGAATGGCAGGGTGGACTCCTGTTCTGTATGTACTTATCTGCCACCGCCGTCGTTGCCACTACTGTTGAAGTCACAGCAGGGAAGAGGGCAGGAGGAATGCAAGGAAGGACTCCTCTTCTGAATGTACTGGCTTGTCGCGCCACTGAACTCAGAGCAGGGAGGAGGGTGGGAGGAATGTTAGGAAGGACTCCTCTTCTGAATGTACCCCAGCTTGCCGACACTGAACTCAGAGCAGGGAGGAGGGTGGGAGGAATGTTAGGAAGGACTCCTCTTCTGAATGTACCCCGCCTTGCCGCCACTGAACTCAGAGCAGGGAAGAGGGCGGGAGACAATGCAGGTCTACTGGGGGAGTGGGGAAGGGGAGCCAACCTTTCATGCAGGTCACTCGCTTTTTAACAGAAAGAGTTGGGCAGCTCCTGCCCTCAGTGGAAACCTTCTGTGCCTCCCGCCCTCCTCCCTTCTCTGATTTCAGCGGCGGCAAGACAATACATTTACAAGAGGAGTCTGTCCTTCCATTCCTCCCGCCCTCTCCCTGCTGTGACTTCAACAGCAGTGGCAGCGGCAGCGGCAGGTGAGTACATACAGAACAGGAGTTCACCCCGCCATTCTTCCCACCCATCACAATGCTTAAGGTATAGAAAAGATTATGGGGTAGAGGGGGCTGTGATATCAAAGGATGATATGGGGGGGCTGTGAGATTGGGGAACGGTGATATGGGGGAGCTGTGATGTGGGGGGGCTGTGAGAGGGAGAAGTTGTGATATGGGGGAGTGTGAAGTGTGAGGGGGGAGCTGTGATGTGGGGGCTGTGGAGTGAGGGGGGGAGCTGTGATATGGGGGCTGTGAAGTGAGAGGGGGCTGTGATTTGGGGGGCTGTGAAGTGAGAGGGGGGAGCTGTGAAATGTGGGGGCTGCAAGAGGGGGGAGCTATGATATGATGGGCTGGAAAGTGAGAGGGAGGAAGCTGTGAATGGGGGCTGTGATAGGGGGGAGTTGTGATGTGCGAGGGGGATCTGTAATACTGGGGGGCTGTGATGTGAGAAGGAGAGCTGTGATATGGGGGAACTGTGATGTTAGAGGGGGAGCTGTGATATGGGGGGTTGTGAAGTGACAGAATGGAGCTGTGATATGAAGGGTCTGTGATGTCAGGAGAGGTGGAAGTGTGAAGTGGAGGGATGTGATTGCAAGGGGGACTGTGTTGTCAATGAAAGACTGTGATGTGAATGGGGCTGTGATGTAAGCAGGGCTATAATGTTGGAGGGCTCTGATGTTTAAGTGAGTTGTGATGTATGGGGGGCTGTGATGGGAAAGAGGGGGCTGAGGACAATAATGTAAAAGGTGCTGTGATGTGAAAGACCTGAGTAATAGAAGAAAAATGAGTTTCTGACCTCTGCAGAAAGAAAATGTAACCAACCAGACATTAATTTTAATTCAGTACCCCTGCTATACACTGTAAACTGTACTAATGACACTGACTGGGAAAGGGTTAACATAAAGGGGTTAACTGTGTACCTAACAAGTGTAATGTGTGCTGCTTTTACTCACATATCTGGCTGTTTTTGCTCTTTGCTGTTAAGGAAGAAGAAACAGCCAGATAGCTGTTCTTTTTGCACAGAGGTCTGTGTGTTTGTAAACACAGAACTCTGTGCTGTGACTGGACAAAGTTGGTCAGCTGGTTTCAGCTTAAATCATTGGCTGAAACCTGCTCACAAACTTGTGTGGTGTCCAATCACAGCACGGCCCAGCAGGGTGTGTGTAAATACATTCCCCTTGCCAAGCCTGCACCTTCTGCCTGTTCACGGCAAATGTACTGTGAGTGGGAGGCAAATGGGTTAAGGAAGGTGATCATCAGAACATTCTTCACTTGATGTATTATGATTATTATTATACAGTATTTATATAAAGCCAACAGTTTGCACCGTGCTTTACAACATGAGGGCAGACAGTACAGTCATTGTACAGCCCTGCTCATTAGAGCTTACAATTTAAAATGGAGGATCAAGGGATACAAAAGGCAATAACTGTGGAGGATGAGCTGATGGAGCAAATAAAAGTTCAGTTGTCAGGTAGAGGCAGGATAGGCTTGAGGGTAGCTGCAGCGTGGTGCGGGAAGTAATGCACAGAGTCCGGTTGCAGGAGCAGAACTTGTAAGGTTGAAAGCAACAGACAACCCAGCAGGAGAACACTATGCCAGGCAAACACTCACAGTTCTGTGTAACTTAAGAACACAGTGAATTCAGATGCACTGACAGTGTCTGTCTCAGAGGGAGGAATGCAGCCTGGCCAGTCCAGACCCAATGGGAGGGTTTCGCAGAAGGATAGTGTGACCCTAACCCATCCCTTTCTCAACCAGGGTGCCCAGGCACCCTGGGGTACCTTGAGGTTTCTTCAGGGGTGCCTTGGAAAAATGTCTAAAAATTGCCCAAAACTGTATACAAGCCAGTGGGTGGAACAAGCCTGCCTTTTAGTTACACAAAGCCACAGGTTTTCATTGTGCACCATTACGACTTCTAGCTGCCGGCATCCTGACAACCAATGACATCATCAGTTGATAAGGAGAATGTCAGCTGCCTGCACAGCATCCTTGTTTGACCTTGCCTTGCCCCTTTCCATTGGTGCTGGGGTCTCATTAACTCAGTGATGGAAAAAAACTGAGGGAGAAGAGAAATAATGTATAAATACACTGCTATGTGTCATGTGTCCATCTTGCATGTATTCTGCCCAGGGCTTGTACACATTCCTCCTGCCTGTTGGTTGTCAAAGGTGACCTGTCAACTAAGAGATTGTAAGCTCTAATGAGTAGGGCCCCCTGATTACTCCTGTATTCAGTTGCATTGTATCTGTACTGTTTGTCCTCATGTTGTAAAGCCCTGTGTAAACTGTTGGCACTATATAAATCCTGTATAATAATATTACTAATAATCTAGGGTGACATCCAGGGGCGGACTGACCATTTGGAAACTGGCGCACTGCCCGAGGGCCCGGGGTCAGTAGGGGGCCCCATGAGATGCCCCTGGTACCTTTTTCATAGGCTTTTTTGAGTTTGGGCAAGGACACAGGGGCCCCATGATCCCCTGTTGCCCGGGGACCCCATGAGTTGTCAGTCCGCCCCTGGTGACATCCAATGAGGACATGAAGTATATTAGTGTTCCTCGCCATTATCCAGCCCTGTGCAGGTAAAAAAAAAGAAATAAGAACCTATCTGTACCTAATTGTATGACAGAAAATGAACATACATTTGCTTCACTTCTATGGATGTATAAATCACCATCTTCTAGTAGCTATAAGTAAGTGCAAGTTGTCATGTATATAGCCAAGTGAACAGTGTATCCCAGCACCCTCCATCAGTTTTATGAAGTTTGCATTGAGCCATTGTACATATTGCATTTGACAAAAGCTGTTGTGAGTGACTTGCCTGTGACAGTGCCAGTGAATTGCTAAGTTAACGGTGCAGCTGTCAACCACCCTCTGTGCTTCTGTGAAGATCTAAACATGACGTTGTCTGTCCTACCTGAATCATCGTGTTGGGCACACTGTGCTAGTCTCAGTCTCAGACATCCTTGGATGTGTAACTGGTCCAGGAAAAACAAAATAAATTATCATAATAAAATAACTGTATCATCAGCTACAGGTTTTCTAAAAAGTACCCGTTCTAGAAGACCAATTAATTTCAAGAGTGTTTAAATGTCCTTTAAGGCTTCTCTCAGATTTGCGGTGCAGCTTATCACCCTCTGAAAAGTGATCTTCAGTGAATTGCCCTTCAGAGGGTGGTATAGCAGCGGCTGACAGGCGTTCAGGAGAATCTACTACCACTTCCTGGATGCCTGTTTTTTTTTTTTTTTTTACTTTTGTTTTTAAATTGCAATTTTACATTGCAGGATTGCGCCGCAACTGTAAGCAAAATGTTTGCCTTGCAGTTGCATTGTGGTCCCATTGAACTCATTGGGCAAATTCTACAGGTAGTGTCACCTGTCAAATTCTGAACCCCTAGTTAAAATACCACAGCTAAGAAGCAAAGCATTCCAGCCGCAGCATGTGTATAACCTTGTTCCGTTGTATTGTACAATTCAGGTGGGCACTGGAGCGGTAAAACTGCAGCTCAGCTGCCCATCAGAAAGAGCCTCAAGGAGCTGATTTATAAAGGTGAATCAATCACTGCAATTTAAAAATCTTGCACCAGGAAGGTACACATGCAGTGAATGTCACATTGACTGCTTTATAAATACTGTATATCCCTAAGTATACCTAAAACCCAAACTTTTATTTTTTTTAAGAATTGTTGAGGGACAAAAGCTTAGTTAGTTTATTAATTCATGTGCCACCAAATCTTCACTGCAGGTATATCACTGTAATTCAAAAACTATGCACCAGGAAGGTACAACTGCAGTAAACAGCTGGTGAATATCACGTTCACTGCTTTTTAAATTTACCCCTATATACAAATATATATATATTAATACACTGCTCAAAAAAATTAAAGGAACTCTTTTTAATCAGATTATAGCATCAAGTCAAATAAACTCCTGGGATATTGATCTGGTCAGTTAAGTAGCAGAGGGGGTTGTTAATCAGTTTCAGCTGCTTTGGTGTTAATGAAATTAACAGCAGGTGCACTAGATGGTTAGCAATGAGACGACCCCCAAAACAGGAATGGTAAAAGCCACTGACATTTTTTTCCTACTCATCTTTTCTGACTGTTTTTCACTAGTTATGCATTTAGCTAGGGTCAGTGTCACTAATGGTAGCATGAGGCAATACCTGGACCCTACAGAGGTTGCACAGGCAGTCCAACTCCTCCAGGATGGCACATCAATATGTACCATTGCCAGAGGGTTTCCTCTGTCTCCCAGCACAGTCTCATTATCATGGAGGAGATTCCAGGAGACAGGCAGTTACTCTAGAATAGCTGTACAGGGCCGTAGAAGGTCCTTAACCCATCACAGGACTGGTATCTGCTCCTTTGTGCAAGGAGGAACAGGATGAGCACTGTCAGAGTCCTACAAAATGACCTTTAGCAGGCCACTAGTGCAGGGGCGGACTGACAACTCATGGGGCCCCCGGGCAATAGGAGATCATGGGGCCCCTGTGTCCTTGCCCAAACTCAAAAAAGCCTATGAAAAAGTTTCCAAATGGTCAGTCCGCCCCTGCACTAGTGTGAATGTCTCTGACCAAACAATCAGAAACAGACTTCATGAGGGTGGCCTGAGGGGCCCTGTGCTCACTGCCCAGCACCATAGAGCTTCATTGGCATTTGCCTTTGATCACAAGAATTGGCAGGTCCGCCACTGGTGCCCTGTGCTTTTCACAGATGAGAGCAGGTTCACGCTGAGCACATGTGACAGACGTGAAAGGGTCTGGAGAAGCCGTGGAGAACGTTATGCTGCCTGTAACATTGTTCAGCATGACTGCATTGGTGGTGGGTCAGTGATGGTCTGGGGAGGCATATCCATGGAGGGACGTGCAGGGTTGCCAACTCATCTCTTTAAAACCGAACACATTAATTACATAGGTTCTGAGGCTAATTTAATGCAGATAAGGCATTGAGTTTAATTACCACCTTAATCAGCCACAGAACCTGTGTAATTAATATGTGTTTGGTTTTAAAAGGATGAGGTGGAAACGCTAGCACAGACCTCTACAGGCTAGACAATGGCACCCTGACTGCCATCAAGTATCAGGATGAAATCCTTGGACTCATTGTCAGAATTGTCAGACCCTACGCTGGTGCAGTGTGTCCTGGGTTCCTCCTGGTGCACAACAATGCCGGGCCTCATGTGGCGAGAGTATGCAGGCAGTTCCTGGAGGCTGAAGGAATGGATACCATTGAATGGCCCCCATGCTCGCCTGACTTAAATCCAATAGAACACCTCTGGGATATTATGTTTCGGTCCATCCGACGCTGCCAGGTTTCACCTCAGACTGTCCAGGAGCTCAGTGTTGTCCTGGTCCAGATCTAGGAGGAAATTCCCCAGGACACCATCCGCTGTCTCATTAGGAGTATGCCCAGAAATTATCAGACATGCATACAAGCACATGGGGACATACAAACTACTGAGAACCATTTTGAGTTGCTAAAATGGAGTTTCAGCAAAAGGGACTAGCCTGCTGCATCATTTTTTCACTTTAATTTTCAGGGTGTCCTCTGTAGGTTGATAATTTTCATTTCCATCAAACGATGGGGCATCCTTACATTCCTAACACATTACCCAGTCCATATCAGTATAGATATCCAGCATGAGATTTTTCCCCATTGAGATCTGATGTGTTTTCAAAGTGTTCTTTAATTTTTTTGAGCAGTATATACAGTATATGCTGACAGAAGAGAGTAGCGTGAGTAGAGGATTGAGCTCATCAGTATTTTTCACCTCTTTTACTGTCCAATCACACACTGGACATAAGGAGATAACCAAGCCACATTACATAGCTTTTGTAGAGAAAAGTCAGTTCACCGACTGACAAGGTTGTGGAAATCTCTGGACAAGAAGAACAAATATAAATCGTTTGGTAGGTAACACAGCTCTCATACAGTTAGGTCCGTATATATTTGGACACAGGCACAATTTTCGTTTTTTTTAGGTATTTACCAAAACATATTCAAGCTATAGTTATATAGTGGATATGGGCTGAAAGTGCACATTCTTATGTTTAATTTGAGGGTATGTGCATCCAAACTGTAGGAAGGGTTTAGGAATCACAGCTCTTAAAAATAGCCACCCCACCTTTTTCAAGGGACCAAAAGCAATTGGACAATTGAATCAAAAGCAGTTTCATGGCCAGGTGTGGGCTACTCCTTCATGATTTGTTCATCAATTAAGCAGGTAAGTGGTCTGGAGTTGATTCTAAGTGTGGTATTTGCATTTGGAATCTATTGCTGTGAACCTACATCATACATTCAAAGGAGCTGTCCATGCAAGTGAAACAGGCCATTGTAAGGCTTTGAAAATGAAACAAATCCATCAAAGAGATAGCAGCAACATTAGGAGTGGCCAAATCAACAGTTTGGTACATCCTGAGGAAAGAAGAACGCACTGGTGAGCTCAGCAACATAAAAAGGCATGGATGTCCATGGAAGACAACAGTGATGGATGATCACAGGATCCTCTCTATGGTAAAGAAAACCCCATTCACAACATCCAGACAAGTGAAGGACACTCTCCAGGAGGTGGGTGTATCATTGTCAAAGTCTACAATCAAGAGAAGACTTCATGAGAGCAAATACAGAGGGTTCACCACAAGGTGCAAACCATTCATAAGCCTGAAGATTAGAAAAGCGAGATTGGACTTTGACAAAAAACATCTAAAAAAGCCAGACCAGTTCTGGAAAAAGCATTCTTTGGATGGATGAAACTAAGATTAATCTGTACCAGAATGACGGGAAGAAAAAAGTGTGGTGAAGGCCTGGAACAGCTCATGATCGAAAGCACACAGCGTAATCTGTAAAACATGGTGAAGGCAGTGTGATGGCATGGACATGCATGGCTTCCAGTGGCACTGGGTCATTGGTGTTTATTGATGATGTGACAGAAGCAGCCGGATGAATTCTGCAGTGTTTACAGATATACTGTCAGCCCAGATTCAGCCAAATGCAGCAAAGTTGATTGGACGGCGCTTCACAGTACAGATGGACAATGATCCAAAGCACACTGCAAAAGCAACACAGGAGCTTTTGAAGGAAAAGAAGTGGAATATACTGCAATGGCCAAGTCAATCACCTGATCTCAACCCAATTGAGCATGCATTTAACTTGCTGAAGGTAAAACTAAAGGCAGAAAGACCCACAAACAAAGAACAACTGAAGACAGCTGCAGTTAGAGCCTGGCAAAGCATCAGAAAGGAGGAAACCCAATCTTTGGTAATGTCCATGTTCAGGCAGTCATTGCCAGTAAAGGATTCTCAACAAAATATTAAAAATGAACATTTTTTATGATTCTATTCATTTGTCCAATTACATTTGAGCCCCTGAAAATGGAGGGACTGTGTATAAAAATGGTTGCAGTTCCTAAAATTTGTACTTGTTATTTATGTTCAACCCCTTGAATTATAGCTGAAAGTTTGCACTTCATATTCATTTGGATTGTTTTGTTTTAATTTATTCCGGTGGCATACAGAGCCATAAGCATGAAAATTGTGCCTGTGTCCAAATATATATATATGGACCTAACTGTATGTGTATTTAACTGTTACCTTGGCATTCAGCATTAGGCTACAATTCCCATTAGTGTCGCCTTTCTCTCTGTTTCACATGTCATGCAACACATCCCCTTATGTGAAAATCCCGACTGAAGAAAGTGTGAAATATAACATTTTATATCACCTGAATTTATTATCAGCTATTGTGAGATTCACAATACAGGAAATCCAAGATGCAACTATAAACCAAGAAACAATATCGACTGAAGCATAATTTATTATTAATGTTACACATAATAATTGCATCTTTTTTTTCTGTGATTTAACAAACTGATTGTTGTGCAGTGATTTCATGTGGCCTAATACAATGTACCAACCTATTTAAATGGTATTTGTCTGTGGAAACTGTGAACCCCTGTGCCTTTGTGGTTAGTGGTGAGGATGTTAGCAATCAATCAACACTAAATTAAGTGTTTTCTTTTTCTTTCCTTTTTTCTTTTTTTTTTTATCTCAAACAAGCCAAATTAATGCATTGTTTATTAGTAAGATAACAGCAGCCTCTAGTGGGCAAGAGAAGTAATGCAGTAGAACTTGTTTTGACTATTACTGTCCACATGCTTGAGATAGATAGATAGACAGACAGACAGGCAGACATATAGACAGACATATAGATAGATAGATCTATCCTTCCTCTGGATCAACTGTGGATATAGGATTATAATTTTTTTTTTTTTTTTATGGTTTAACTGGATGGACTTTTTTCAGCCAGACTAACTATGTAACTATGTAGGTTTATTTACTGGAGAGTGCAAAATCTGGTGCCAGAACTCCCCCCCCCCCCCCCGGGGGTAGGCATGTGAATGAGTAGTAAAAGTATTGTACCCCTACTCACTCACAAAAAAAGATAAACAGTAAAAAAAAAAAAACGAGAGATAGAAAGGAGGCGCCATTAAGTACAGTATTATGTAGACTTTAATATAACACCGTTAAAAATGCAATCACAGGAGTAGGTAAATGACAGGCACATCTGCATATCCAGGGGGGGGGTGGTCTCTCCTCTCCATTCCGCAGGAACCACCAGTGGAAAAGTCTGATGGTAGTGCTGGAGATCAGGGCCAGGGAGGTAATCTGGTGTAGAGCAGGAGGCACCCCGCCAACCAGCGTGGAACACTTAGGCAGATGCAATGTCACCGGAGGACCAAGGAGGACCGGAAGGGAATAGCAGGAATCACAGGCTATGCACTCAGAGCCTTTAGATTCTTCTAGAGGCTTGTAGAAGGAGCCCTTCTCACTGAGAAGGTCCATAAAGAGGACCTGTCATGGCCCATACTATCACAAGGAATGTTGTTCTGCTCTTGTGATAACTATAAAGTTGATAAAAATAAAAGGACAAAGTAGAAATATAAATTTAAATAAAATAAATAATAAACTAAAAAGAATTAAAGCGACCCTGACCCCCCCAAATGCAAATGTGCACGTGTATATTTAAATGATGTTCACTCTATACATGGGATGTATCATCAAGAACATCAAAGTGAGAGCAATACTTCTAGTGCCAGACCTCCTGTGTAAGAAAAAAAAAGTTATGACATCTCTGCTTTAAGAGCTTTAGCGATAGTAGGAGTTGGAGCAGGAGGTTTGTGTGATTAATAAAAATGGTGACCTGTTAACACCCACAGGTGTGTCTTCACTGCGGAGACACAACAATGGTGACACTTCACCACTGTGTGCAGCCTCCAGAAAAAATTCTGCATCGGGAGAGCCAACAGTGTCCTCTGATATGATCACTTTTCAGTCTACTTACTAGCATCTGGCCTTGATGGGGCCTCCGCTGAGAGGCAGAGAGCCTTGCTGTTTAGCCCATTAGGTAAAGAAAGCTATAGGATTTTCTCCAGCATGTGCTGTTAGGGAAGGGGTCATTAAAGCCCAACTCCTAGCTAATTTTTTTTCATTTTTTAAAAACATCATACTGGAGGTTAAACTACTTACAGTTTAGGCCAATTCTGACATTTCTCTCATATGTCGCACGATACTTGCACTGCTGTTTTTTTTTGGGAAAAAATACACTTTAATTAGTTTTAATGCAAGCAAGCACAATTTAATACCCATTTTTTGATAGAATATTAAAGATGATGTTACACCGAGGAAAAGGATACCTAACATGTTACACTTTAAAATTGCATATGCCCGTGGAACAGGGACAAACTAGAGTACTTAAAAAAATTATTGTGCATTTGTTACGTTACATTTTTAGAAAGTGTTATGTTAATAAGAACTTTAGGTGAAAGTAGGAGGAGTTGGAACAGGAAGTTTGTGTGATCTGCTTTTTTATTACAAAATATATGAAAAATATTTTTAAAAATACGTTTAAAATATACTGTATGTCTTTAAAAATACAAATCTACATTTTTGGAATGCATTTACAAATATATTTAAAAATAAATGTTAAAATGACTTTTTTATATGTTAAAAAAAATCTGAAGAATATATTTAAAAAACATATTTTTAAAAATATATATTTTTTTAAATATATTCCCCAGATTTTTTTAACATATATTTTTACAAAAATATTTTTTGTAAATGCATTCCAAAAATTTAGATTTGTATTTTTAAAGACATACAGTATATTTGAAATGTATATTTAAAAATATGTTTCATATATTTTGTAATAAAAAACTCATTTCAATATGCAATATATATATATATATATATATATATATATATATATATATTGAAATATATTGAATATGGCCAAAATTGTAGCATTTCAAATATATGTCAATATATTTTGGAAGAATATTTTTAAAATATATTTCAAATATATTTTTCTTCCATATGGGTATGTAGGCAACTACTGGCAATGAAAGTGGAGGCGCCCAGCCCCACTAGAGAACTAGTTGGGTCTTGCAATTGATCGCCCTCTCCCCTTATCTGGCCCAGGGGGTGAAAGAGTACTCACACTGTCCTCTCCTGTTAGCTTAGTGGGTTGGTGTTGTCTTCAGGCATTACGCTGTGCTGGCTCCTTCCCTGTTACACAGGCCGTCCTCCCCTGGAGACGTTGAGGCAGTAGAGATCCTCCTCTCCAGCATCCTGCCTTCAGATAGGCTCCCTTCTCTGGGGCTCCCTCCCAGGCTCCTCACTCCAGCTTTTCGCAATCCATCTTCCACCCGACACTGCACACTATTCCTCAGACTCTCTGATATTTGAAGGTTGCCCTGGTCACCAAGCCCAGCCTCCTGCCAAGGGATTGGCCAGGGTCCCTCAATCATGCAGATCTGGGTCTCCTCCCCTCCTCCACCCCTCTTCCACAGAGTTCTCTTGAGTTTATGGAAGGGTAGGAGGGCCTCAGAAGCCCTGAGCTAGAGAACCTCCCAGCCTGTCCTGAGGTGAACACCTGCCTCACTCACAGGCTGACTCATCCCAGGCTGCTACTCAGTCTCTGTCTAAAAAAAAAATTGAAAAAAAAAACAAACAGCCTATATAGCTAACCTGGAGGACATTACACGTAGAAGGGCTTGTAGATGAAATGTACAAATGATGAAATATACAAATGTCTTGCATTAGGAACTCCAGGTACCACAGCAGGCTTCAGGACTTGTTTCTCATCGGTTTGTACCCCTACTCCCAGAGGAAGGACTAAGCTTTTGGCTTTGTACTGCAGTTAAGTTCAGCCCCCCAGTACTGCACCACATCTATATTGTCGCTTCCTGTTCATGCTCACACATCCATATAATTTCCAGGGAACAGTAAGAGACAGAGTGCATATTTTCCTTCATTTTGTTGTTTTCTGAACTTCAGCAAAATACGGAAATTAATTATTTAAGCACCATCTCTTTATGGGCACATAAAGGTCATAACATCTTATTAGTTAGTTCCAACAGTCCATCCTTCGACCACTTAAGCTGAATCCAATTCCCTCCACATTCTTGACTGACCTAGAAGGGGAAAATTAGTAACCAGAACACTACATTATGTAGATAATGAGACCCTGACATTCCCATAAGGGCCCATAACCAACTTCACTAGTCCTCTCATCCTCTCTGCTCCAACCATTGCGTTTCTCCCATTCCATTCTTATACATTCCATTTTTAGACTAGGGAACCCTCTAGTGGACAAACCAGTGACTACACCTACCCATACCAGGATGCTGTGAAAGGTCCCTATACCTAGGCCAAATTTAAAAAGTTTGATGTGTGGCCAACATGTGAATCCCTGATCGCTATAAAGGTTAAGAACACATACCATAATGTGTAAAATGTGTGTTTTGTTTTGCATATTATAGTGTTCAGGGCACTTTTTTTGTGCATTGTCTCTAGTTAGCCTTAAAGTACATCAAGCCCTAAGAAATACAGATGGGTGAATCTGTTCAGGTTCAGCAAGGGTCCATGAACATTTTGGAAAAACATGAATAATGGAAAAACTAAAAGGCATAGGAAACTGGGCACTGCCACAGGGGCATGTATCAATGCAAAAACATCCCACAGCATGGACAGGGTTTTTCATGATGATTTCTCTGCAACATTAAAAATAAAAAAGTCCTTTAGTCTCCAGTGACTTCACTTGAATTTGCATGATTTCAAAGTTGGATGTCAGTCCGACTTCAGGTGCAACTTGGAACACTTCTGGGCGAGTTCATGCACAGATGTCTATGCAAATCGCACCTGAACTTGCAAAAAGTAGTGCAGTGCAGTGCACTTTCCAAATCAGTGCGAGTCTAAAGGAGTCGGAATCACACCTATATGACCGCTTCCATTGCGGACAATAGGGTGAGACTTGTCATGCGATTTGAAACGATCATCATGCACAATCTCCACAATGGTGTACATTCTGCAGCCTAAAATTACTAATTACTTAGCTTGGCTCACATACAGCAACAGTCCAAGACAGGGGCAGACTGACAACTCATGGGGCCCCCGGGCAATAGGGGATCATGGGGCCCCTGTGTCCTTGCCCAAACTCAAAAAAAGCCTATGAAAAAGGTACCAGGGGCATCTCCTGGGGCCCCCTACTGACCCCAGGCCCTCGGGCAGTGCCCGAGTTTCCAAATGGTCAGTCCACCCCTGGTCCAAGATGATTTATTACCCGTTGAAAAAAGGGTCATTTTCAGGTAGTTTTAGCAGCAACACTTGCTTTTCATTAAGTGGTAATAGACCCACTTTGACAGGCAGACAGCAGGACAGTTTTGCTTCACTGGGGCTGTCCCTATTTTCAATGATGCCAAACTGACCTGCTGGTAGCCAATTGCTGTTAAACTCCCATTAGGAAATAAGAGAATGATTATGATCAGTGGCGTAAACCTGGCTAGTAACAGGACATTTTAACAAGGGAGAACTGGTTAAAATGTACTAGAAATAGAGTATAGGCAAGAGGTTTACTACAAGAATTAAGAGACCACAAATGACACAGTGGTGTAAAACTGGTCAGAAGCAGACAAATTTAAATAGCAATCTAGGCACAAAATTACCATTAAGTCTAGGCTTCACGCCTATACAGGTTGCATTTGATCCGTTTCTGCATCGCGTTTTGCGTTGCATTTTTGCACTTGCAATTTTTACGCATTTGTGCTGTGATTTTGATGCGTTTCTCATAGTTTTTTTTTTTTTTGTAATTTTTCTTGTTGCTAGGCAGATTTTAAACATGAAACGCATAAAATACGCAGCAAAAGGGCAATACATGCCTTTCTGCAGCGTTTCCATTGAAGCCTATAGAATCAAAAATGCAACTTTTTGCGTTCAAAAAAGTCTCTTACCCTTTCCAAAAAACTCACTTTTTGAGAGCGCTCAGATGTGAATATGTCCCGCAGGAAATCATGTTAAATGGACTGTACTGCGTTTCTGAAAAACGCTGCAGAAAATGCTTAGGTGTGAACCTAGGATAACAAAGAACACAGGCTAAGGCTTTACTACAAGAATTAAAGTAGAATTTAAGGGTGGAATACTCACCTATCCTCCAATGGTCCTGTCCCTCGCTGGCTCTGACATCTTCTTCTTTGCACCTGTTTTCAGCCATCTTCATTGCCTGGCATGGGATGACATTATTTCTGTGTATGTGCAGGAGCTAGTCATTCAGGCACACAGATACTGGGCTGGCTGATGTAAGCTGAGCTGGGCATGCACAGCTCAGTTTACATTCTGGGTATCACTGTGAGCAGGCAGCTAAATGTGTTTTGTAGAAGACACATTGCATTTCTCTTTTGCAAAAGAAAAAAAGAAAAGCTTGCCTGCTCACAGTGAACAACAACGGAACTTTAGGACAATTTAGAGGACAGTTTTTAATCAGGGATAATAGGCCTAACTGGTATAGGACTAATGTTTACTTTTTCTATGGGGATAACTAATATTGCTCTTAGTTCAAATGATGCAGAACTAAAAAAATACTACTTCTGAAATAAAAGCCTGCTTTTTTAAGAGAAGCATTGCTTCAAAAAAAAAAGTTACCTAGCCTAAAATAAAGGCCCTATTAACAAAAAAGTTTAAACAATATTCCCCCAAAATAAATGAAAACCCCAAAATACTACACCCTGAAACAGAAGACCATTTCCAGGGAAGCCTTGCAGAAAAAAAGTTTGCTATGAACAGGACAAAAGGTGAAAGTAAGCAATGACCTCAAATCAACCACAAAATAAAATTAAAGACAAAAAGCTCACAAAAAAAAAAAAAAAAAAAAAGCAAAGATTGATTAGTTGAAGGGGCTAGCAATTACAACTAAATAATGGTTTTCTATTGTACAAAACTTCTCCCTATGCAGTTTGTCAGCTTTCCCCCTACTTAAGTGAGGAGATCCAGAAGGTCCCTTGGTTCTTCTAAACCTGGTAGCCATAGCTGAAATGTCATCCAATACATTATGGGTTAAAAAATGTATCTTGGGTAATTCTGCACAAAAGTTTGCTGAGTAAATGAATCTCAAACCTGCATGATTCGCTTCCATCCTCACCTCTACTAAGTATCTGCTAGCCCAATATAAAAAGGCGTGTGCACAACTGACACTAAGTAGCATAAGGGTTGATTTACTATTTATTTATTGCTACAGGTACTTTTATAGTGCTGTCAATTTACTCAGCACTTTGCATATATATTATACTGTAAATTCACATCAGTCCCTAACCTTCAAGGAGCATACAATCCAATGTACATAACTTACATTCATACTAGGACCACATTAGACAGGAGACAACCTACCTAGTGCCGTGGTTGGGATTCAAACCTACAACGCTGGTGCTGCCAGGTGGAAGAGCTAACCACTTAGCCACTCTGCTGCCTTAAAACCAGAATCTGGTGCAGCTGTGCATGGTAGCCAATCATATTCTAACTTCAGCTTCTTCAGTTAAGCATTAACAATAAAACCTGGAAGCTGATTGGTTTCTATGCAAAGCAGCAACAGATTTTGTACTATAGCTATAGTAGATAAACCCCATAGTCTTGTTCGCAGATTAGACATGGACCTAGGAAGAGATGCTACCCGATCAACCAGTGTATCTACAACCGCTTTATTCTGCACATAGGTGTGTCGTTTGCAAGCACAGACATAGTACTTTTATTTCCTCTCTATATCATTTTGAAAACAGATTAAAATGGTCCAAAAACTAAACCTGGATTACAAGAAGATAACTTTAGACCATTCTGAGTAGGAATCCCTGATGACACCTTTCAAAATGTGATTTTCTGAACTCCAGGTATGATCTTAACTGCAATACCCCATACCTGAAGGGAAGCTGACAATTACTGTAGTTGTCAGCACTCCAATCTTCCAGGTCCTGTGCTGAGCAAATGTCACATTGCATACTGTCCACAGAGGGTTGCTCACTCTGCACTGTACTCGCCGCATTAGTTGGTGCTCACTGAGCACTGCCATAATTCACAGAACACCTTTTTTTTCTAAAACAAGGCATTCTGTGATTGGACTAGAAGAAGAGGAGGGGTAGTGATGTCAGGATCTCCACCTCATCCAATTTGAGAAATCATTGTATTCACTGAACAAAAACATTGTGTGAATGGCGACGGTGCTGAGCGATATCCCACTACTACAGTAATTGTCACCTACCATGGGGGTCTCTCGACTCTGAAATATGCATGCTTACATCAATCCAAGCTGGATCAATTTAACCATGAATTACGTTCATATTTGGAGTTCAGCTTTAAGAAATACATTTCTCCAAACCATTTTTTGAGCTGATTTAGATCTTCTGTCTCTTTCTACTTTTCTATTTAGATCTTAACATTACTAATTATATAGCTAGGCGTAACAGCCATTAACTCCTGGATGAGGTAGTGAGGTTGTCCCAGAAGTCCATTAATAACTAGTTTAATTAATTTTCTCCAGTGATTCTTCTTCCTCTATATGGTATTTTTTATTTTCTATGACCCCTGTTGATGGGTTTTTCAGGTATTCTGACATTTAGTGCTACATTACATTACAGCACATCTTTTTGTAATGAGGTCTAACAACAGTGAAATAGCTAACCGCAAGTTAACTGAATGGCTTTGCTGGGTTTATGCTGCTTATACTTGAATTCCATTTGCACAGTTGGCCTGTAGGGACAAGTACAGAGTAAATTGCCTGGTGCTACCTATGAAAAGTAGGATTGAAATGAGTGAAATTCATTTTCTACTTCTCGGGTATAATGGAAGTCATAATAAACTAGCTGTTATCATGTAAATACCATCTGTTCAAGGATTGCTTTTGCTTCAGTCTTCTGCTGTTTAGCCAGTCAAACATACTGTGAACATAAAATGGTGATTGCCGCTAAATCTAGTATTTTTGGCTATTACAAAGGCATCTTTTTAAACAATGGGCAGTTCGATAGCTAAAATTGTACAGTTAAGCCTACGAAACATAAATTAAAACCTGAAGAATATGAAGTACCCATATCTCCAACAAACTCTCACCAAAAACACCCCAAGAAAAGTCACACTTTCACCCTTGAAAGTAAATTATTATAAACCTTTTCACAAATAAAACTCCTATCTCTCAATACCTGCTCAGAAATTTTGCTTTTTAAACCGTGTCTCAAAACCAACAACCTAATCCAAAAAAATAATAATGTCCAGAATATCAAAAATCTTCAAAAGTTCTATAATGTGTCCAAATCAATTCACCAATCCAGATCCAGAAAACCTCAAAAAAATAAAAACTAAATATAGTGTATTACCTTCATATAACATTCAATAATATATTAGTGACACGTGAATCATGCACAAAAAATTCAAATAAAATATTTTCTAGTGAACACCCTGCCAAAGTGGGAAAACACACACAAAAAATATATATATACTGTATATATATATATATATATAAATCCACACAACACTCAGTGAAATTCAACACATTAAAAAGTGAACTTCAACACATCAAAAATTTAAGTGAGCATTCCGTGACACCTCACACTAGGGGGATTAAATACTATTACCCTCTTGAAATCACAACAAGCATTTCAAGATGTGAATAGTGTTTGCTTGCCAGCTTCCAATGCACATCACAGGTGAAGTGAACATTCAGTGATGCCACACACTAGTGGGATTCAAGGCAATTACCCTCTTGCAGCATAAACCAACATTTCAGGGTATACCCGTTACCCGTTTCAATTTCCCCAATTCCTCATGGAGGTAAAGAAGAGATCCATCAGTAGAATAATAAAGGTATCAGACCAAAATTTTATAAAATTCTTACATAGAGGATTGTTAGATCCGTCAAACAGTCCCAGCAGTTTGTGTGCTGAAATTCCAATAATCAAAATGGCCATAGGTTTTCCAGGTGCAGATACCAGAATACCCCAGATATTGTCTTTGGGTATTTTGAGTGATCTTCAGATTGAAGATATTCCCATGCAGGCAGTAGCTAGAGCCCTTTTCCAGGCATGTATACTGATTCTGCGTCATTTGGTAGCTACTGATCCCCCCCATATTGAAGGAATGGATCTCCCAAATGGAGGAGCCTATTCTGCTCAAATACTAGCATAGAGGTTGTAGTGGTAAATTTGACAAGCTATGGGCCCCTTGTCTAGAGGTCTCTGGATTAGTCCCAGTTGACTTGGTCATAGACCCGCATCCTGTAAGGCTTCGAAGGTGC